CTGTTTAAGAAGTGCTTGAAATGCCAAGACAGTTGGAAAACACTAAAAGCAACAGCCCAGGATGGGCTTTTTTTGTGGATGAATACATCTGTTGGATGCAGGACTGAAGCTACATAATCTTATGGCAAAGCATGAATTTCTACATAACATGAGCTACATGCATACTACATTGCTGTAGTCACTGCAGAAGACAATAGTTGTCCTGTTGCTCATTAGAAAACATTGCAAGTGAGTGCATGAGAGGCAGTAACCTTTGGGGCTGCTCTGCAGGTAGTGTGCATCTTACTAAAGAGAGCGTCAGGTCTCACTTGTCAAATATTTACACGCATGACAAGAGTGCAAGCCTTTTTAGTTAGCTAACTCCTGTCCCACGGACTGCCATTTCCACAAATCCTGCACACCACAAAGCAGAATTCCAATCAAATGAATTATTGACATTGGTTTTATTCCCTTGACTAAGAACACAGTCCCCTAAGAATCTGATGGGATATCTGAGTAGTCTCAAATAGGCACTAGATGCACAAGTGTTTTCGGGCCAATACATTTGCCTTTCTTGCAAGGTGACTTTTACTAAGCAACAGTGAATTTCTTTCTGAAAGGAAAAGAAAGGATTGAGAAGCAATGAGGGCAGAAAATATGCTTTCTGAAGACAAAATAATTTTAAAGAACTAGGCTTATACTTTTGCTAAATCCATAAAGAATCAAATGGAGACCGGGAGGGAACTCCACATGGCTCAGCAGAAAGGAACAGGGAGACCAAACTGCTCGTCAGTGGGGATGAGTGGAATGGAAGCTCATTTTCTTAATGAAGGATCTCTACTGTCAGAACAGTTCAGAGTGGCAAGAACAGGAGGCTGGCTTTGCAACCAGAGCATACAGTTGCAGGAATACTAGAAAATGAACTTGTTTTCCCCTTTCCCCTTTGGTTTCTACCTCAGTGCCGCACAATGCCTGCTGTGATCCAGGGGAATCTGCTATTGTTCCAATGCACCTGGGTGTGAAGGGAGTCACAGGGTCTGGCAAAGGAGCCTTCCTCTCTTCCTTGCTTCATCTCTTTTACCCTGGAGATAATCCCTCCCTGCTGCCTCTGGCCTCAGTGATCCCGTTTTGCATTTCTGGAATGTAGCTGGCTGTTTTTCTCCCCATCTTCCCCCTGACCTCTTAATGCCATTTAATCTTCTTGAAGAAGAAACCTGCCCTACAAAGCAGAGCTGTTTGTTCTGCACGTCTAAGTGCAGATCATGAATGGGAAAAACAAGTATGTTCATTTACAGCAAATCATCAAACCAGCAAATAAGATGGCAATTTCCATGTTATGTCCCGTAAAGTTGAACAGCAGTAAGAATCAGCTAAGAGAATTTGGACAAGTCTTTTCAGTGTCAGATAAGCTGCTGTAGTATATATCTTTCATTTATTTCATAGTTATTTACATTAGCCCCCTAATTGTTTCAACTCTTAGCTAAAAGACATACTTGGAAGAGTCTTGTATTTTCTTAAGCTTTCCATTTTGGTACATAAATGGAATAAAATATTCCATTTTCTGGTAAATAAAGCAAGACACAGAAACATAAACACACCTAAACTGACAAAAGACATTATAATAGAAACAATTAAAGTGCTGAACAGAAGTGCCAGTATAACATACTCCTAATGAAATGATAGCCTTTCCAAACAAATGATGTTTCCGGCAGCTTATCATTTGTTGTTTTAATTGTACTAGATGAGTTGTGCTAAGGGAAAAGAATGTTCCCAGGTATAGCTTTGTCCTTTCAGACTCTGGGCTCAGCCCCCCTTGTGCCTACACCTCTTCTCAACAACTGATGGGATGTCTCGGCATGGGCAGTGATCCTGTATGAGCCAGGAGGCTCTTGTAGAGGCAGTCAGTGCTTTCAAGGAATAGCATGAAGGTTTATTTAGGGGCAGAGAGGTGGGAAGGTTTGTGGATAGAAGCACAAGCTTCATTAAGAGAAAGACGTGTTAAAAACAGGCGTATTTTTGGAAAATACAGTGCTCCTTTTACTCCCCAAGAAGGTTTTAAGACAAAAAGCTGGAAGCAAGCAATGATAACACTTTTGCAAAGGATGCTTTCTATGGCATGGCATCTTTTATAATTAACCTTACTTTTACCCAAAACAGAGTACTATTTAGCACTACTTACTATTCATTTGAATCCTTTTCTTGGCTTGACAACTGTTCCTTCTTCTCCCTACACATTAAACCTTGGTCACCTGTATTGCTCTTGCTACTTGTTGAGTACAGTTGTATTGCCTCAGAGCCCATGATGACAGTTCCCTATATTTGACTGATCTGAGGGTCAATATTAAAGGTACACTCCAAGCAAACCAAAAAGCACACAAAGTCAAACTGGAGAAAAAGCTGTGGTCACACTTTCCCTTCAGTTTTGTTTAAATCTTTATTGCATTGCCATAGGCTGTCAGGCTAAATCCTTCTTTGCACCATTCAAGGAGAGATTTCCCACAATGTCCTAGTCATACAGAAACCACTGTTAAAACAATTCAGTAATAAACAATCCATCCTCTCAAACAATGCCTGATAACCACTGGCCATGATGAGCTACACCACTGCAAAACCTCACACAGCCAGGTAATTGCTGCTAAATCTCTGAGAGCAATCAGCTGAGGTGCTGTGCATTCAAAGACATTGCAAGAGATTTTCCTGATATTTTTTGTAGCCTAACAACTGTAGCTACACAACTGTATTTGGAAAAGCTAGAAACTACCTCACTATAGGGTGAGAGATAATGAGTTAAAATTAAAGGTTGCTGCTGGCTTGCTAGCCCATCCCCCTTTAGCTAATCTGTCATGTAATGAAGAGAAGCACCTAGCATAGGACAGCTAGCTGCCGGCTCACTTACAGCGAGCTGATTAAGAATGTTCAACCAACAGCAGACTGCAGACCTTTCCAACGAAAATAAATAGACTGTATGCAAATGTGTTTGTCACTTTGACAGCATGTCTCAATTAAAGCATCTCGCTGCTGTTGGTAGGCTCTCTCACTGCAGTGCTATGGACGAGGCTTACTGCATTACTGATACACAGGGCTTGACCCTAATCCGCATGCATGCATTTTAAAAAAGTCTGCCTTTGCCATATACACTGGCATAATACTACCAGACGTAGAAAGCAAGTGACAATGAGAAAAAAGCCTCTTTCATCCTCTTCAGTTTATAAGAGCTGTGAATGCACAAACAGCCCTTATTTCAGAGTTCTTGTGGCTTTTTAATTGTTCCCACCTACTGTATTCTAGACAGAGTTAAAAGTGACACTAAAATCTCTCCCTTTAATCACTAGTTAGAAGCTATCTCCCATTTAAAGAGTAAATGTTGCTGCTTTTTTTCTCCCCAAAGCCTTAATTTAGATTTCATAAACCTGAACATCTTTTCCTTTTGAATGAAAGTATATTTCATTTTCTTTTTGGAGTTGGGCTAGCAGGAAAAAAAAAGCAGCCCTGTGAAAGGACAAAGGCTGTAAGAGGGAGAGCCCTACAGTTGCTAAGTTAGATCATTTTTTGGAAACCAACATTTGTAATGTAATGACAGTAATAAGCGTTTAGCAAGTGAGCCCTTCACCATAGCCAGTGGCTCAGGAAAGCTGATGTGTGTTTCTTTTGACACAGAGAAAGTGATCGTTAAAAAATTTGAAAGTGACCGCTAAAAAAAGCTCATGAATTTAAACCTGCATTTTCCACTCCATTATGTATTTCATTCATCCACCAAAACATCTGAACCACCCATACTGCATAAAAACCTAAAGAAAAAAACCACAATGTAGATTATAATATTATCTGGATTTCTGACTGCTTTAAAAGAAACGGAAGGTTTTCCTGCTAGATGGCTACATTTCTCCAGTAGCCCCAATTCTTCTAAAGTGTATTGGCACCGACAGTAAGTGAAAAATAAATCACTCCTGCAAACACTTAGTTGGAAGAGAATCGGTTTAAATAAATAAAAAAAAAAGTCTCCAAGAACTTAAATTTCAGTGGTGAAAGTTCTGCAAGAAAAAAAGCTAATTCTAAAACGATTCAGACAACATTGCTCTGAGCAACAACTCTATCTCGTGTAGCCCTGTCCAATACCTGAACAGTCAATGCAGCTATACCAACTATTTGTTATTAACAGACACTTAGCTAAAAAGCTGGTTTACTTTACATCTTAAAATTCCCAATATTTCACATTTGTTTTCAAGTTACACTATGTTTCCTTTGAAGAAATCAGATATTCACTCCTGTTTTCTGATCATTATACTGCAAAAAATAGATCCGGAGAAAGAAGAGAGAACTGTGAACACAAATAATGTTATTTTTTGAGTCAGGCTGCACTTTACAGGAGAACACTGGCAAACTGATAATAAATACTGTACGTTTTTCCATGAAAATCACAGCAACTACAAGGTTTTCTAAATAACTAGCTCTTAAAAAAGCCACATGACCAAACTCACTCTTTTGCAGACTTATCAAAAGAAATCCTATAAGAGTAACTAATGTGCATAGCTCAGTTGTCAATACTGAAATACAGAGAATAAGCTATTAATTGATTTTTCCATCTTAGTTCATAGCATTTAATTTTCAGAGAATGTTAAAATGTTTTAATAGTTGGATGTTCTATATTGACACTAATGATCTGGCTAGATAACAGGGAACATTTTAAATCGTATTTCCTCAGTCCTGAGGGCTATTGCACTTTGCATGCTATAAGAACAGCAAAATAGTTTACAAAATTGCTATAATAATTATGCTTCCTTCCCCCATTCATTTAGAATTTATTTTCCTCAAAATCATCATATGAACAAAAAGAATCAGTAAACCCCTGAAAATTCAGGTTTTAGAACCCCATTTAAACAGATACATCAGAAACAAACCTGTAACAAGGCAATTCAGTTACAAAGAAGAGTTAAACACTAGTCATATTCATTATTGTGACTTTTCTCTGAACTGTTTTCCCTGAGTGACACAATATAAAGACACCTAACACTAAGACATACCTGACCAAAATGTACTGTGATTGGCCTTCGGTCTTCTCTTAATTTAGGGTCCTTCTTCTCAACCAGTGGTGAAGGTGCTGTTCTTGGTAGGGATTCGTCTGGTGTCACAGAACACCCATTCTCAGCAATGTCCTGCATGGTAGGAGAAGGTGAATAGCATGGCCAGGAACATTCTTGATTAAGGGTAAGTGGAACAAAGGAGACACTAGAGGATAATGCTGACTAACAATTTTGATGTTAGGGGAAAAGAACACCAAAGTACAAAAAAAGAAAACATCATTAGAATAAAACATTTTGTTGTACTTTGTCAATCAGAGCTTGTACACAATCACTCTCTGCTCCTAATAGCAATGTTGCACACAGATACATTCAATAAAATGTCTGACTTAAACATGCGAAAGCCAGAAAATACATAAGGAGAAAAAAAACCCCACAGCTTAAAATTTCTGTTCTAGGAACAAATTCAACTGGAATTCAGGGACAGGGCTATTCTTTTTGTAAACCTAAATGAAAACAGTCATTCTCTTTACGTACTTCATGAATTATATGCAGCAGAACAATTACTTTTAGAAGTGGTAAGGAGGTGAAACTCACAACTTAGCTTTGCATTTTATCTTTGAGTCTGTGTATACTGAATATGCCTTCATGAGATTGTATAAAACAAACTGCTGCCTAGCAGAATGCTTTTTTGTTTTGCTTTTGACATTAGTCCTTATCTTCAGAAGTGACCCACCAACCCAGGCTGGAAGACTTAGCAAGTGGAGGTATGGTATATGTAACATGGGTTTTGAAAAAGACAAAGGCATGCAGACATAAGGAATCAGAAGAAAAAGAGTTTGAAAGTCAGTTGAGAAATAGTCTGTAACGCAGTGGGCCCCAAACCTTACATCTCTTTGCAACAATGTCAAGGAAATAATGCTGGGTAAATATAGAGAGAAACCTGCACACACTGTAGCTCTGCAAGACTGACCTAAGGTTGGCTGCTGACATTGCCATGGCTTTGATTCACTGACCTTTGACATGCCCCCTCGAGCTTCCGCCTTGCGAAGGTACAATAATGAGACATGTAAGCTGATGGCCAATTAGAAATGGTTCTTTTGGACACAGACTGACCTAATGTGTTTAGGTCAAATGAAACAAAAAGCTAGATGGACTTTCTAAGGGGCTTTGTCTGCTCCACAGAGAAGCCGGGAGACCTTTTTAGATCCAGCTGGCAGAGCAGTGGTTCACCAACATGGGCATGAGGATCGTGGGGAAATTAACAACTTGGTCAAACTAGAGAGAAAAACTTTTTCCTCCCCAAATCCTCCAGCTGCACAAGGTTACCTTGTCTTTAAAAAATACAACAAAGGGCACTGGATTAGCAACAAAGAGCCCCAAACCAACTCAATGACAAGAAAGGTAAGCTTCTGTCAAACTCATACTTTAGCTCCAAAACAACATGCTACCAAGGGACCTGGTCAGTTTTGGAATCACAGAACCTATGGCAGCAACCTACACTGTTCTACATTAAATAACAACTTGATGTACTCATCTCTATACAAGTATAGACATATTAAACGGGCACCAAGCTTCAGACGTTCTATGCATATGCTCTAAGGGTGTCCAGCACATTCAAAGCCACCTGACCTGCACTGAATAGTGGAGGTTCCCAGAACATCAGAGCTTTCAGAGTTCCACTTGAGACTGCGGCTCCAACCAAGGCAACACACAGCTGGGAATCACGATACATAATTACCTCTATGTATAAACAGTGCTTCCCCTAACAACTGTTTGTTCAGGCGAAATCTTCACTACCTTTTGAAGGAAGAACTTCAGAGATTGAACGATATGTAAAGTTTACCCCATAAACTGAGCAAGGTTTTATTCTGTTTAAATAAGGATTAGTAATCTTTCTAGGTACCTTTTGTAATGCACTACAAATACTGTCTATTAGAAGAGCAAACAGCACATTCCAGAGTGCCTAGGAGGATTCTCCAGGTTATTTTAAAAACCTTGAAATGAGTTGTTTCTAGTTGTACTGATAATGAGTACTGACAGTAGCTCATTGATAACAGACATTAACTGAAGCCACACAGGGCTCTAAGTAAAATATTGTTGAATATATTAATGCCAAGTGCCCAACCATTTATATAAATTGTCTTTTCCAGAAGCTTTCGGTAAGTTACATTCTCCTTACTGAAAGTTGAGGATGGTACCATTCATATTCCTCCTTCTCCCTAATTCTATGTAGTTAAGCTTCAAAAGAGCCAATAACAGAGTGAGCAACTTGACCACCATGGTCTATTTGTGAAATGGAAAGAGCAGCCTTTAAAAAAAAAAAAAAAAAAAAAAGGGGGAAGAAGCAGCAAAAATAAAAAAAAAGAAGAAAGAAAAAGAAAAGGTACTGTATCAGATACAAAATAAAGCTGCCATGCTGTATCTATTAACAATTATTTGCTATCACTCATAAGAATCCTCTGAAAACTATTTCTGTTGCTTTGAAATACTGTACCACAAATGAACAAGGGATGGAAATAGAGCCCCATTCAATCTCTACTATCATATTAAAGAAGGACCTTACACACACCACAGTGACCTCTCAACAGGTCAATCCTGCATTTCTCATTTGCAATTCAAACCCAGCACTGGAGCAGACCAAGGGCAAAATGGGCTCTTGATTATATTTAAGAGGTCACCATTGCTATGCAGAGTTGTAGGAAGCAGACCTCTAGCTTTATTGCATTTTTAAATTCTATCTTGTACAGAAGCTGCTCGTATTTGGCAGGAAAACTGGAAAAGGGATGTTTATATTTGACTTTTCTTTACTAGTGGCCTGCATACTTTTTGTATTAATAATGGAAAATAGTATGTTAAAATGCATTGGATAGTAAGTTCAGTTTAAAAATAACCTTAGGTTATCCATAGAAGATGAAAGAGTAGCATCCCAAATTTAGCAAAAATTAAGGATTTAATGATGCCAGAATTTTAAACTGTTAACACTTGCACACAATAGTAAGTAAATGCATGAAAAATACAATGTTCTCAACATGAAAATTGGTGAGGATGCACTAAAAGAACTGTCAACAGAGCAGCACAGACATTTAGATTAAAAATGAGGGTGGCCAAAGCAATTTTTGCTATTTTTATCACTTCAAACAGAGCAATACCTCATTTTAGAGTTTTCTTCCTGCCTTGTGTTCAAAATGGAGAAGACGATGGGTAGAAAAGAACAGACTTAATGAAGAAAGGAGAGGTAGAGCAATGTGTCAACTGCTCTGAGAAATCTTTAAGCTGTTGTGAAAGCACAGGCTGTACAATCATGTTTAACCACCTTACTTACAGAAAGGCCACATAAGAAGGAAGGTGAAACAAAATTGGGCCATTTCTTTGTAAATGTTAGGTGTGTTTTTTAAAGACTGCTTGCTGCTTGAAGGACTAGGAAGACAACCATCATAAGAGAAGAATGCAAAGAATGAATGAGGCATTTTTCAGCCTTTCATACAAATGTCAGGGAATAGCACACAATTATATTAGCATTTAAAACACAGGAAAACAATCTGGTCATTTTATGCAGCTCCAACTGCTTCAGAAATGCACATGAGAAGGCCAAACATTTTATTATTCATGAAGGTTATATCCAGAAGTGGTATGTATGGAATTACAGAAAAAATTCCATGTACATGAAAACTGCTTCATGTTTCTAATATTTTCATACTATACCTAAGTGGTCCTATAAAAGCTGTAATAAAATAAAATAGCATTAAAAGCATCTGAAGCAACTTTATCCTCCTGAAAAACATTTAGCAATCTGCTGCAGTATCTGAGAGCGAGCAGCCTTTGGATTGTACATGCAGTTTGATAAGCCGGTAACCTGCCTGCACAACAATCCCTGTGTATTAACACTTTACTGACATATGCAGGTAGATTTCTGTTTGTGTCACAGGAATACATTTGCAGTGATGTCTTAAGACAGTGGTCTAGGAATTTAGAGAAGAAATTTACTGAGATGTCACAGATTAAAAACCACCAAACAACCCAAAACTATTTGTGACAAATTGAATAAAGATTTCTGAGTAAGAACTCCAGTTCTAGGAGAAAGTTAGCTACTCTGTTTTTCCAAAAAGACTAATAGCTCTGCTTCAAAGAATAAATAGAATACGTGAAATAAACCCAAGGTAGAGTTAACCATCCATTCATAAGGTATGTATCGATATGACCATACTTTTGGCTTAAAACGAGCAATTAGTATTGCATAACACATTGTTCAAACACAATTCAGCATTCTTGGAATCGTGCTGTTTACAAACAAAGACAGATTGGGAAAACAACAAACAGCCTGAGTATTTTTTTCTGTAATAATTCAAATGTGAAATGAACACCAGCTCTAATTCCTTTATGCCTAAACTTTGCAATAGACACTCAAGAAACATATCAACCCTTTTCCCAAGGACAGACATACACTTTTTTTCCTAACCAATTACTGTAGTAATAACAACAATTTGCCATTTGCAAAAAGTTCACTGCCACTGCCATAAGAAAGCTCTCCCAGTTCACACAGAGTCTGCTTCCACAATGCCCCAGCACGAAGGACACGAGAGGGACCATTCCAAACAGAACACCCAATTTTCTGGCTTTCGTGGGTTTGAGTCAGAGCCTTAATGTGTCTGAAGACAATTTTTTTGTGTGTGTCTGTGAATATTTATAACAGTGTGAAAAATCCAGGACAGCTGGTAATGCATTTTGAAGTGTGCTAACAACACCGTATCAAACAGCTTCCCATTGATCACATAATGCTTTTTGTGGCTAAGTATTTCATACATGGTGCTTATACATTTTGAGTAAGAACTTCAAGTACCTTTTGCTTCAAGCGGTTTTTCACTTCTTTTATTCCCATTTTTGCATGATCTTTTGCCTGCATGAAAAATTAATTTAAGTTAAAATCCCCTTCTATTTCTAGCAGTGACTAAGCAGTGATTTCAGTGCATCAGGATTCACCTTCTCTAGTTACTAAAAATGGCAAGGAAGAAATTGTAACAGGATACTGAAAACACATTAAAACAAATAGAAAGCTAAAAAAATCCCAAGCAAACAAACCCGCTATTTCTCTCTTCTCCTCCCTCATTGAAAAAATTCAGTTTTCTCTGTTTTGATGCCACACACATCTTTTAGCTTTTTGCATTCCACAGCTTTGGTCTTCCTCCCTCAGTAGTTATCTTTGCTGTAAGTTAACAATCAACAAGAACAGTAAGGCTGCAAACTTGCTCCTTGCAGGACACTAGATGCCAGTTCCATATAGTAGAGCTAATCTCATCCTACTCATCTTTCTCAGGCTGGAGAAAGGCAGCAGAAAAACAAAGTTCAAACAGTTATCTCAATGCTTTTTGGGGCATTATTTCCTAAAACTGACCTTACACTGATCCTCACTTGTTTCTGTTGGTTTATCTTGCACAGTGGAACTGGCAGCCATGCGTGATAACCCAGTACTGTACTAGCTGTTTGTTAACAAAACTGGAAACATTTTCATTTAAAGAATAACTCACTAAGTTGGGGTCTAAATAAGCACGTATAAGAAATCTCTAGGGAAAATTAGTTGACATTTAGAAAAGATGGAAACAATTTGGAAAATGAGAGGATTCCCTTATTTCGATGAAACTGCAAGCAGAGAAACCTGAGGTAACAATGATTTCCAACAGAGTAATGATGAGATGGTAGAGTGGCTCAGTAAAGCATATAGGCATTATTTCTCAGAAATAGTTCTATGTAATAGAATTTATCATCTATACTTTCAAAGGAAATCACAAGTTCCCCTTCTCCTTTGCATTTCAATTATGTTTGAATTTCAAAATGACTTTTCCATCGAAAATTGAGATTTAAATGAATGTGTATTTTAAGTCATTTTGTGAGTCTAATAAGAATGAATGTAAGTCTTGAGTTGCATTTGAAAGGTTAAAAGAGAATCATAATTAGACTCTTAATCTCAGTAGTAAGCCAGTACTTGATACTTACAAACTTATAGACAGTCTTCATGGCAGGGTTGGCTTTGGTCTTCACTGTATTTAAAATGGCTCCACTTCCTTTCTATAATTATAGTAACAATAGAACAAATTTTATCAAAGCTCTTTAAAAGCAAACAGCAATCTAAACTCCACCATTCTTAAAATAACAAAGCGTTAACTATGCTTGTTAGCAGAGCTAAGTTAAAATGGTAAATTCAAAGAAACAGAACATAAGTAAATCATATTAAATATTTCTCTGGTTTTCCAGAGGAACCCCAATACAGCAGTTTTCACTGGAAAAACATCAGTGTCTCCTAATACCAAGAGCCCTTATCTGACAGGCCATCTCACAAAAAACTATGTCCTATGACTGCTTCCCTCAGCCTCAAGGGTGTCCTGTACATTGCATTAAAATCCAAACAAGTTTAAGACAGAAGTATCCTAACAAATACTCCATGTGAATTTTCCACTTCAGGGAAGCCTGTATCTTTAATCTGAAGAAGCAAGACCTTTCTTTTTATTTTCCTTTTCATGATCCCACAATACTATTTATCAAAGGCATCTAAGTAGTTGATAAAGGGATAAATTCAGGGAAAATGAAATCTAACTACAGTCATAAACATTAATTCCAAAAAAGCTGAATTGCATGTGGTGAACATAATAGAAGTCACAAGACAGCAACATGTCAGGCAGAATAATATGTTAGTCTGGTTGGCGTTTTAAACATCTTTCACACACTGGTGAGCACTGCTGTACAGTACCTTACCTGGCAAATACAGGAGATGGGCAAAATCAAAGGATTAAAACCTTAAATAACTTTTTATTTTCTTATTTCAATACAAAACTGCATTTGCAGAGATCAGATACAATCAGATGCAGTTTTAAGATTTGCTACTTCTGTTCCTACATGACAATCATCACAAAAAATATAAACTGTTGAGTTTAATTACATAGTTTTATATTCACTCTCAGCCATTCCCTTTCCTAATTTTTAAGTTACTTGTCATCTATATTTATATACACCTATGTATAAATTTAACTATCTGACTATGAGATAGGCTTTTTAAAGTTACTGTTACAAAATACGTTTAATTAGAAATTACCAAGATAACATTGAGCTTAGCATTCTGTGTAAGGAGCACAACTCCATTTGTAAGCAGAGCAGCAGGCAAATGGAATGCTGCAAAACTCAATTCTGTCAGAAAAAAATTCAATCTTCCTTATTGACTCTTACCCAAAGCAAGAAATATTTTGCTTTCCAATATATTACATTTTATGCATCAAAAGAGACTTTCAAAATCAGCTCTAACAAGATATTATTCTCCATAAGTATCTAGATTTTTAATTTATAAAACTGGAGCACTAAACTAAAGAGATACAACCCCCTCCCAAACAGGGCTGACCCTGTTCAGCACTTCGCACCATTTTACAATGAGCTTTGTGGTGTGGCAATGTTCCCTTTTTTTCCTGTTCTGTTACAAGGAAAGGGATATACACATTATTTTCTAAAATGACAAGAACCTATTTCCGGATGTCTCTAAGACATTAGGAATTCTTAAGATTTAAATCTTTTTTCTATTATGATTTTTTTTTTTTAAGTGTATTTTTTCTTCTGCTCTGCATCTGAAGAGGGCATTGGCTTTTCACAGCTAAACTCAAACCAGTAAAAGCTGAACACTGAAGGATACAACACAGTCCTGTGCATGAGGCCTGAGGTTAACAGCCACGCAGAACTGTACAGTGGTCCAGTAAGAATTAGAATGCCTGTTGGAAGAAGACTGGGTTCTTACCCTTACTGTAGAGAGCCACTGGTGATACAATTTGTCACTACCTAGAAAGAATCACAAAATTAAACAAACTATAACTCTCTACCAAATAGAAACAAGCCAGACATGTTAGCACTTAGTGGTTCTAAGAGCATAAACAGTACAGAAACAGACAACCAACCATCCTTTTCAGGGAAACACAACAAATAATTGAGGAGATACCTACAACTTTTCTTTTACTTGCTAAGAGGCATTTCTGGTTTAGCTGGGTTGTCCTTCAGACATTTGAGAACACTGACTGTTTTGTTTTTAAGACTGCTAAAAGAAATGTGAGGTACTTCTGGGTAAAGCCAAAGTTTTTCAGTATCCTCCACTGCAAGAGCTCTTCTAGTTGTATTTAGCCAAGTGGGAAAGCTGAGGTTTTCTAAGACTGACCAGACTTCATTCAAACTACAATACATTACTCAAAGTTCTCATCAGAGGAAAGAACAAAAATTTAGGACACTTTAAACTATAGGGATCATTGCAGCCTCTATTATTTAGGTGACCACTATGACCCATTACATCACAATGGCCCACAAACAATAAGTCAAGAACAGTATCTGAAATTACTTTCAAATACTGAATTTCTTACCTGCATATTCCCCCATATTTATCTCTTCTTCAAAAACATCACTGAAGCCCTCACCAGAGTTAAGAAGATCCAGACGGCCATCAATGAACTACACCAGTGTTAAAAGAGAGTATACATAAATCAACCACCCCATCCTTTACCTTTCCAGAAAGACTTTATTCTGCATTTGCTAGAATAAAATCAATGTTCTTACTGGGAAGGGAGTCTACATCAAATGAAAATACAACCTGAACTGGCAAAATGTTTACCACTGCAAAATGCTGCTTCACTTAAAAAACAGCATTCATGTCTTTGCCTACGCATGTATGTTTTCAGCTTCCCTGAAGCAGTAATGTCACGTTTAACAGGAATGCACTTTCTGTACAAAGTTTACAGCAGATATATTTGGTCTAGGTATGCTCAGATCAAAACTGAGAATAGAGACCTTTAGGGGAAAACCTACACACCTCTTAAAATACAGAAAGGCTCATCACCTGAATCTGAGAAAAGGCAGCAAGCAGGAATTAAGGTGCTACAACTATATGAGTTTTCCTCATTATGCGGCTGACAGATCAAGAACTACAGGAAAACTACTACAGTAGTTTTCACTACTATTGTGAAAGAATCTGCTTCTACATTAGAGCAATTAAGCTGGTACCTGCTTAAAGAGCTGGAGCTGAATGGCATTCTGAAGGAACTGCCTCATGACAGCAGAACGATGGGACACAAACGTTTCTTCACAAAAAGTGATGGGTTCACCCTGTAGAGTTCAGAGCATTGAAACAGAAAAAGATTTCTCTGAATCCATTTGAATCCAGTCCCCTTTTTATCTACTACCCTTCCAAAATAAGTAGATTAATAGACTTTACAAATCATCCAGTAAATTGTAGTTTATTTTCCAGGTTTCAACCATGTGACGGAGAAACAGGTTGAAAAACAGCAAACTGCGTATCAAGATAAAACACATTTCGCTTTATGCACATTTTGCGATACTGGTGAAGGAACTTTCATCATCCAAAAAGATAATTTTACTTAATGTCCCCAAAATATGACACACAGTCCTCTTAATTTTTTATACAGTGCTTCTCTGCCTCAGTAGACCCAACCAGGTAACCTGCAGAAACAAGTCAGGAATGTCTGCTCTGTTCTCTCCCCAGCTCAGATTAGACTTTCTTGAATGAGGGAAATATCCCTTTTTCACAATCTTGTTGGCAAAAGACAGAAATTGTTTTGCAGCTCTACTTTTATCTTATTTTAATGAGTTATGTTAATGCTGAAGTCTGCTGTGCATCTGCCATAAGGGCACAAATTTCCCCCACACTTAAATCTACAAATACTCTATGTAGCAAGCATATATATTTACTGAATTAAAATCAAGAAAGTAACAAAGAATGATAAAACCATACTGATGTATAATTAATATAGAGGCTTTTTCATACTCTTATTAAAATACATTTGGGCTCTTCATCTGTTGAGTGTTCAAAATCAACATTAGACAGCAAAAAACCTTCAAGCACCCCCTTTAAAATGGTGGTTTCATTCCGGTTTTGGGAAGCTTTTCATGTTAGCGATCTAAGCACAGGATGGAGCATTTTCAAAGGGGGAAGAAGTCAGTCTTCCTGTCACCTTTTCCTTGGCCCAATGAAATACCATGGATTTGGAAAACAAAGCAGGTTTCTTATGCAGCAACTACAGTTTCCAGATAATTAGTTTTAAGGCTCTCTGATTTACTCGAGCAGGTATTTACAGAGTAAAACAAAATCCCAACAACCTTTCAAGATCTTTCCAGGCAAAAAGCGTAAGTGAGTAAAAGCTTTTTGGTTTTTTTTCTTCCCCTGCGGCTTTGGTTTCATCATGGGAGAATGAATCACAAGTCAATGTTTCAAAGTGAACAGAGGAAAAAAGTTTAGTGAAATGGGTCTGGCTGGCATGAGCTTGGTAAGCAAGACACTGGTGACAGTCTCCATGACACAGTGACCACTGCCAGGACAAAGGTTCTGTCCCAGAAGTCAAGGTATGCCTGAAAGGTTTTAATGCGTTTAAAAGACTAACAGCTCACTCACTCATGTTAGTAAGTATCAGAAAGGGACAGAACTTCTGCATGACATGGAAGTGTCAAAACTTCAATAAGCAAGAGGTAACTTGGCAAATGAAAGTCTCTTTCAGGTACCAGGAAGGATAAGTCAGGACACTACATAGCACTAACATTAGGGAGGGAAAATCTTAGGAGATTGCAAATGTACCTGTGACTACAGAAACTAGTGACGGACACTTCCAAAGCAGGGCCTGGGCAACAGTACCACAAACAGCAGCATGTAACATCTACTTGACCATTATGAAAAAGGCTTTCTCAGTAGTTTCAGCTACTACAACGTAACAAATGAAAAATATTTGTCTGACATAGACACAATCTAGAGTGTGAAACAAGTAGGGAGGAATACATGAAGAAAAGTGTAGATAAGTCCATGATCAGAGAAGTTCACCAAGGGCAGGTTTAGCTTTCATTTAATCCTCACTTACAAACCCCCAAAATTTCTCCCACGGCCAGAGAAGAGCATGAACCTGGTGGAAAGAATTACACCCTGCCCAGCAGAAGCTTCCTCTACTCCACTGAACATCCAGCACAATGACACCAGCTTCTCCTCTTACCACCAAGCTATGTACCATTCCTACAAACACACACACTACAGCGGGGGGAACCAGTGTTATTGCAGTGTTAACACACTTCCTTCTCCAAAGTACTAATGATTGAGTTTGTTCATTAGGGTGATTAGACCTTTTGACTTCTTAAAAGACAATTCAGGCTCAACTGCTGCTAGATGATAGGAAAAACTTTAATAACCAAGGTCAAGCGTGAGCTTTTCAGCTTGGAATGCATTAGTACCTTCCATCCTCCCTGACCTCCAAGAGGGTGAACACAGTGTTGCTAACCCCCATCCACAGCTTCATTACAAAAAGATAAGCTGGACAATAAGACCATTTTCTTGACAGACTTAGTTAACTGTAAACTATAAAGCTGATCAGCTCTGCTTTTACTGACAGATGACATTATGCACAAGGGGACATGCTAAGAACTGCAGATATTTTGTGAAATGAATGGTCTTACTCACATGTATAACAATCATAATAACTTGTCCTGATAAACCCATCAAATCCTAAACTTGCTGTTTCCAACAATTAGATTTTAGGCCTTGATCCATCAATACTTTAAATACCCACTATTCCCCTCTCCAACTATAAATGTATAATAGAGACTAAGATACGGCATTGCAAATGCTCTGAATATGTGCACCATATGACTCTGAGGAATCTGATTTGATCTGTAATATCAGATAATTCACATATATTTCAAGATTGGGTGACAAAATTATTTCTTAAGTACAAACATCTGCACATTTCAAAGACGTTTAATCTGCAATCTTAACACAGAGAAGTAACCTCAAAATATAAAACTAAGATTTAAGATTCCCAGTGCACGGAAAACATAGGTACCTTTTTTATGCCTTTGTAAATTTCCCTTTATATGAATATTTTATATTCATATGGCATAAATGAAGCTCATCAGGACAGTGCTGCTGTCTCACGACCCCTGAAAACGCTGAAAAGTTTCAGCCACACCTGATCTGTTGCCAGCCCTATTTTTAATTAGAATTCTGTTACACTCTAAATTAGTATTTAAAACTACTTAAGGCAGCAAGTGAAAAACAAAACGAGTCTGGGACTTACGTCAAACTGTTCTGAAATTGCATGAAAACTGCTGTTTTATTTTAAGAAGCCATAATGCAAAGTGAAAGGTAGGTCTGATTTTGATCAGCTATGGTGGAAAAAAAAAAAACTCACCAAGATCCCCCATCTTTCAAGGAAACCACTTTTCCTCAGAAACAAGATCTTTCTTTCGGAAGAGGGCACAGGACCTTGTTCAGACAGTCTGTGTCAGAAGCATCATATCTGAATTACCCAACTTGCCAAACTCACAGACAGGCCATGCCATGGCAGTAACTTTCACAGTGACTATAAAGGACCAAAGATATGCAGGACATAAGACAGCACAGATTAGAGAGGGACTTGAAGGAAGGGAAAGAGCCAAACAGAAATGATACTTCTCGAAAGACACACAGGTGTCCATGTAACTCATGGAAGTCTGTCTATTCCCACTTCTGTAAGAGATGGGATACCAAAGCGTGCATCTGGGTAATGGAATTTTAAAGCCAAGCTGCGACTGCTGAAGAAAACATTAAGACAATAGAGGCAGGGTTAGAGTTAGGTCAACAGTGAGTGTCTCTTGAACAAGCAAAGATTTCACAAAACTTGATCCTAAAAGTAAAAAAAAAAACAACAGACCCCCCCCCAACTACTTAAACCTGAAGACTTTTGTTTAGACAATGCTAAAACTTATGCCATAGAAGATATACACAATTTCTTCTGCATTATCATGGTCAGCCTGTGGTGCATGGTAATGAATTTTGTGCTTCTGTATGCATGCCTTTAAACCATGTAGGTGCTCTTTCGAAGCCTCTCTAATAAACACACAAGCCATTAGAGCTGCTCTGTAAACCAGCCACAAAATGAAAAAAGATGGGTTGAATTTAAAGGTGCAGAACAAGATGACAATCTGACAGTCTACAAGCTGTAAGCCTGATGTCAGTATCTGTGCAGCAACCCCCAAATACACCACAAGAACAGACATGCAAGAGATTCATGTATCACTGGTTTATTACTACCTAGATGTTGCAAATAACCACATCCTTTACTGAAATTGGTTATGTTGCAAATGACAAAGTAAAGCCTGTAGCGATATCCTAGGAATCATCATCCTTAATTCCATCCAGAATTGTAATGAAACTAAGATAGGAGAATGATCCTACTGATCTGGATATATATGTCAATGTCAGGCACAACAGCAACCAAAGGCAAGCAACTGCTCTGCAGACCTTTCAGGAATTGCGATTACAATGTCAAGGAAAGATTAGCTCATCACAGCTGAAGAAGGATCATCAGTCAGCCAGCAGGATTCCATAAAGAAAACCTGAAAATGGTGACAGACACCTGATAGGACATTGGCTCATTCGTTTGCAATTGCAACGACAAATAACCTCCCCATAACTGGTACATACGTTCAGCACAGGAAAGCTCTCTGCATCTGCCTCAGTCATAATGGAATAAAGAAAGCATAGATCAAATACTCTGCACTAAGCAAATGATACCACAGCTTTATTAGCATTTCAAGATTCTGCTCAGGAACAAAGAAATCATGTGCTCAGAGATTTGACCACACTTCTTCTAAGGAAAACTAAATTAAAACTGTTCAGAAAGAGCTTACCAGTTCAGATAAATTATTATTGCTAAGTGTAATCTTGAAAAGCATTTAAAAGCCATGTTATTTATCAATGCAGACTGCACTGTCCAGACACTGTCTCATGTAGATGCCCATTTTTACTACCAATTTCAGACCTTTTTTTCACATTCCTCGCTAACTTATAAAACCTCTGGTAGAGAGACAACAAGAGTGAATATCCTTACCATGGTTTTATAATAGTTACAGGCTATATACTTTTTATATCGTTTACAGTATCCAACAGTGGGTCATTTCTCTTAATTCTCAACCCTTGCAGCTGCTGGAGAACTGGAATTTCTGACAGCTGTCATTCTTCTGCATGTGATCTGATAACTCCTTTAATAAGTTGTTACAATATCATTGGAGGAGAAATAAAAGGGAGAAAGGCGACTGTGAGTCAGTCAAATTGCTGACATCAATCATAA